GGGGGGGGGGGGGGGGGGGGGTTGAGTAGGTCGGCAACAAGGCCACGTCCATATGTATTCAGCCAGTCAACTATCTGTGCACTGTCACTGTGATCTTCTAAACCCATAAGGATGACAGACTGACAGAGAGAGGTGCTGGGGTGACACCTCACGAGTGGGCTCTTGCTATGGTGGCATTGGTGAGGGCAGTGGAAGGGTTGAGCAGATGGCAGCACCAGCCGCACATGACGAGCATGATTCAAAGCACGAACTGAGCGATTACCTCGCTGATTAACTAAATGGACGACATCGACACAAACAAACAATGGATCTGAGGGCATAACAGCAACTGGCACACACCATGGACATCACTCTGACTAACAATTGACTGACCGACTGACTGACTTACAGAGTGACTACCATCTTCACCCGAATATAATGCCCGGTCATTATAGCCGTATTTGGTTCACTTTCCTGTCCCGATACAGCTATAATTACCGGACGTTCTATTCGGGTGAAGACGGTAGCTGACTGATTAACCGACTGAAGAAAAGGTGGATGGAAAAAGGGAATGGGCCAACTAACTAATCAATTAATAATTGCAATGTCTGAATGAACAAGCACGCAAACCAATCAACAAGCTAACAAACAAATGGTTGGATGGATTGCCTGACCGACTGCGCCGGCTGGATGAATGCATGAAAGACAAACAAATGAACGAAGGAATGAACCAATGATGGATGAATGATTGGAAGGGATGAGACGAAAAAGAAACACTTTGGAAGCTATGAGCAGACAAACAAGATTAACCTCGACAACGGTCCAGAGGCATGCAGGAGGGGATGGAAATTGTGGGGACAGGGAGGTGTTTTGTGGTCATGCCGCTTTAAGAAGACTAGAGTGATTACAAAAGACTTTCTCGACTAAATGTCGTCGGAATTGAGGCCAGATTTGGTCGAAAAAGTCTTACTAGTCTGAGAGTACGCCTGCCCTTAGAGATGCCACATGGCGGGAAAAAAAAAAGAAAAAAAAGCCATATTGGTTGACCACTAGTGATAAACTTACTTGTAAAGTTGCAGTCCTTTATTCAGCTCCGTCTTCCTTAGCTGCCTTTCTTCTTGCTTCTTCATGTAGTTTCTGTACTGGAAAAGACAATTTAAAGTAAAAAAAGAGAGAGAAGACGCCAAAAGGCGAGACAAGAAAAGGAAGACACATGTACACAGTGTCACACACAAACTTATGAAAGAAAAAAAAAAAAAAAAAGAGTCTAGCTACACAGTGAACAAAACTGAGTTTGTTCATCCTTGGAAATTCATTTTTATCTTTTTGGGAAAAAAAAACTTAAAAAAAGATATATTCCTGCTTTTTTGGGGGGGGGAGGATAATAAAATAATAATACTATAATATATATATCCTATTATATCGTCAATTATATATTAACTTCCTGTTGTCCTTATGTTACCGATTCCCTACCTCAAAAAAGTAACTTTGGTTATTACTGGTATGGAATATATGAAACAGAAATCTACATTTCTGGCAGTACATTTGTTACTGACTTTGTGCCATTTCCGAATATATCTTTCAAAAACAAGTATTTTGGTATCTTCTTTATAGGCTGTCTGAAATGCTAATCGATAACCAGGTTCATTGCGAGGAACCAGGGGGAGTCACCTCAGGATGGCACCATTGTACCATGACCGAAGCTAATGCTCAGATCGCAAGTCCTGATCTGCGCCAACGATTACCGGACTAAGCCGAACGCCTTCGTCCAGACACTACACTAACTCTAATGTTAAGGACAACCCGGGCACAGGTGGGGTCCACGCAAATGCAGTCATCCCCCATCTGTGCCTCATCCCGCAGACTCTATGGGCAGCGAACTGCCCTTCCACTACGATGCGATATCCCGCTCTTCCCTATCCTAAGCATGATGTCTTCCTACCCCAGGCTCCCCAAGAATCCACAGTCCCGACTAATTCCCCCAACGAGAATCCCACGGACCCCAACCTGGATTAAGCACCACCCGCAGGCATCGTGAGATACCTGTGGGATGAGAAGTACCAGTACCTACCCCATACACACCCAGTGTGTGCGTAGGATTATCCCCCCGAGACGAGCCCTACCATAGTCTAAGTTCGCTCTGTGTGGACTCTCGTACGGGTGCCATAGTGACGGGAAACATGCTAGCTGTACCCAGGCTCGACCATGGCATCCCCACGGACTAGTACATACTGATGAGATGACAGATCGAAAGGTCCAAGTGGCCACAGGTATCGCCGATTTCGACAGTTTTGGCAGTTTTGTGGTCATCGAAAGTCTAGGCAGTTTTTTCGGTTATCGACAGTCTAGGCAGCAAGCCCTCCCCCTTTAATTTACCCTAACCTATCCTTCCCCCCGCCCGCCCCCCTCCCCCCCCCCCCCCCCCCCCCCCCCCCCGGGCAATGGTGGAGCCAAGATAAGACCCTGATCCTCGGACCCTCTAAGACCAAGCAGTCAAGCAGCCCTCCCTATGGCCCTATCCAGCATACTACAACCATGGACCTAGAGTCCTTGGGCGGTGTGCAGGCAGTGTCTGTATAAATCTTACCATGCGTTGTCCCAAGCAGGGGGGGGGGGGGGTTTGAATGGCTTGTGCGTTATGAAAGCGGTTACCGGTGTAGGTGCACGAGGCAACGGAGTTTTGAACCCGCAACGTCATACCACAATGCGCATTTCCAACCAGTGCTCTAATCACTGAGCCAACGGCCATTCACAAACAATGTCTTTTCTTTTCTTTTCATTTTTTTTAGCAAGTCCGAGGCTGTTCCACGGGGTGGTATGATCACAATGCCCCGTAATAGCCCTGCTGAGATATACACGATGACATCTGGAAAAGAAAAAGAAGAAGATTATGTCTGGATATATACAGGGGAAAATGGATAAAGGTCCCAAGCGGGACATACCTGGATCTCTCTGGTCCCGGCCTCGTAGTTTCCTGACCTCCGCTCCTCCTGGAATTTGTCAGCAGCCACTGCAACCCCCTCTCTTTTCCCTGTGATCAATTGCCACACCAATCATCAATCACATTCGGGAAGACCAAGAAGAAAGAACGAAGGGCCAGGAGGCCCCCACTGCCAGCGGCTATGTTCATCCTTGGAAATCATGAACCCAGCCGTAATAACGGCAAGGTTGTACTGTCAAGTTTAAAGTTTGAACTACTTTCCTTGCATGAACCTACCACACCAGTGGGGGCTGACTCTTGGTGGATCCTGAACAACAACAAACCAATCGACAGGAATAAACACGCATTTAACCAAAAAAAAAAAAAAAAAAAAAGATAACGGAAAGCTTGCTCACACTTGTGCTACTGATTGAATTCAAGTCCAATCAAACCCCCAAACATTATTCATAACAACGGGCCTAGCTCAGTTGGTACACCCATGAACTGTTGAAATACACACCTGAGTTCAAGTCCAAACGAAATGAGATGAGTAGAGATTACTCGGAATTACCCGAGGCGGTCATCTCAAGGCTGTCGTCATTTTCAGGAAAAAAACAAAAACAAAAAGTGATCATAGGCATCCAGCGAGGTCGTAGTGTGAGTTGTCACACCCTGACTGTTTCAATTGTCTGCATATTCTCCTGTGAATCTGTGCCCCTTTTTCCCTCTTTTTTTTTTGGGTTCTTTCTAACTTCAAGAATCTGTGCCCCTTTCATTTCTCTTTGATTTATTTCAATGGCAGGTCTCTTCAGACAAATTTGCTGCGTCTTCGAGGTGCCAAACCAGCAACTGTCACATCTTTGAAGGGTCCAGCTCCAGTTCCAAATTCTCATTCCCAATTCCCAATTCCCATGCAATGAACCTTGCAAGATCCAACTCAAAACACATCACACATGAAGAGAGCATTTGCATGAAAGTTCACACCACACCAGGGATGACACAAGATTCAGCGCCTGATTGAATTCCACTCAAAGATATGAAATGACGCAATTGGAGAGTTCAGGTGTCCAGCGGCCGTGGCCGCGATCGAACACAACAACCCAGCAGCAGGTATGTACCCAACTCCCTCTCTCTCTCTCTCTCTCTCTCTCTCTCTCTCTCTCTCTCTCTCTCTCTCTCTCTCTCTCTCTCTCCTGTCTCTTATACACATCTAGATGTGTATACTCTCTCTCTCTCTCTCTCTCTCTCTCTCTCTCTCTCTCTCTCTCTCTCTCTCTCTCTTGTCTCTTATACACATCTAGATGTGTATAAGAGACAGGATCTACCCTGAATGCAACTGCGATGTATCACTTCGAACCTTGGCGGCTATGGCCACCGTCTTCCTCCTCCTCCTAGTCTAGATATGGTTGACTAACTCTGCCAGGGCGCTCGCTTCCTCCCTCAGCATGTGCCCTCCGTCCAGGTCGCACAATTGCACAAGCAACTAGCAGCGCTTCTGCAACTTTGTGAACGGGCAACTGAATTGGTCTAGCACTGTAGCAGCTAAATATAGTTGCAGTTAACTGTTCGTGCCTGCTTCGGACTGGTACCGGTCGCCCGCGGCGTCTGCCTTGCCAAAATTGGTGTTTCCGGAAGTCTCTGGACTTTCTTGCGACTCTGCTGCAAAATTGGACTTTGGGACTTGACTTCCTCTGCTGTACCGATGGACTTTTAGTCCTTTACCTGACTGCAACATTTCAGTACCCGACTTCTGCCGACCTACGACGCTTCGACCTACGTACCCTACGGACTGACCAACTGGGACAACCTGGGACTGGGGATTTTGGGAGCTGACTGCGTGAAATTCTTTAACCCAATTACAATTCCCATTCCCAATTCCCAATTCCATTCAATTCAATTTCAATTTCAATTTCAATTTCAATTACAATTTCAATTTCAATTTCAATTTTCAAATTTTAATTTAAAATTTAATTCCGATTCCAATGCAGTTTCTAATTCGATTCAATTCCAAAAAATAAAAATAATATTAGAAAAAAATTAAAAAATCTATTAATCCCTGACCCTTCTGATGGCATCTCATCACAGCCGGATCTTTCATTCTTATGACATCTGTAGCATATAGCTCATAGGAGTCATAGCATATGCCATATAGCACAAACAGGACATGGCCTGTCCTTCAGGACATAAGTAAAAATTGGAATCTTATAGCTAGACGGCAACTTACTATTTATTAATATTATTATTTAATATTTATTATTATCATAGACACCTCTCAATGATGATTCAACACCCACAGAGCATGCTGTGGTTTGTTATTCAGGACATCCAATAAATTGGAAAGATGCAGAGAAGAGAAGATTAGCGCGGAAACAAAAAAGGGTGGTACATACAGAACCTGAGGGTGGAACATTCCACTCACTGTTTTTTTTTGTTGTTGTTTTTTTTTTTCCCACTCACTGTTAAAATGTCTGTCGTTTTTTCCCCCTCCTCTTTTCTTAAATTTTGGACCATTTCTCGATTTATGCATCTCATCCTTGCGCTCTGTGCCAAAGTTCTCTATCTCTGATGGTCTTGTTATAGAACTGAAGAGGGGGGAAAAAAAAAAAAAGAAAGAAGAACGAGGCAAGGTGCATGTCCAGTTGCAGGCACAGGCAAGATGGAATCCTACAGACAGACAGACGGACAGACAGACAGACAGACGGACAGACAGACAGACAGACAGAGGCACTCACCATACTTCTTTTGCATCTTGAGAGCGATTGTACCGATACGGGTTCTCAAAGCATACATCGTCCGTCCATATTCTGCAGCTGGCCACATATCTGTCCCAAATGTTGCACTGCAACACAAAACCAAAACAAGGCGAAGGGGATACACGAAGAGGGAGGGAAGAGTAGA